CTCTCTCTCTCTCTCTCTCTCTCTCTCTCTTGCCCATGTGTGTTGTGTGTGCATGCATGCACGGGGTCATTGGCCATGATATTTATGGGTACTTCATTGACGAACGCAGAGCAGTGCATGCTCCCTTTGTGGCGATCCATCCACTCGTTGTGGCAGGGTGGTACGTATCCATTTTTGCCCGATTTCTCTGGCTCCTTTTGTGTGAATGCTGTTCAGTATTGATTCTTCTACCAATCTTTACTTTGTCTTCTTCTTTTTCTCTTTCTTCTCCTTCAACCTTCATCATTGCGCACACTTTCCTTTTCGTTACCTGTTAATGGCCTTGAAGGTTTGTTGTTTCCTCTCTCCGGTTTGATCTTCCTCGTGTTATCTGCAACTTCAACTTCATGCCGCTCTGGTCTCGTGCTGCGCCATCTTTTTTCCTCTCTTGAAGGGGGCTAGGCCCTAACCTTATTTGTCCAACAGGATTCAAACTCTGGATCTGTTTATCAAGAGTTACATGCCTGCACCATTCAGCCACGCAGGGCAAGGTATACGCTGAGAATAGTGCTTATCCTCATTGTATCCAAGAGGATTTGAACTCTGCATCTGTTATCGACACTTGTATGTGTGCGTTCCTTTGAGCCGTCAGGGTCAGGTAAATACCATGTCCCTTCTTGCATGTGTATAAGCTGAAAATGATGTCGTAAATTCCATAATGTCGAATTCAGAAATTCTATTTCTTTCCACTCTTTTTCTTTTTCCTTTTCTGTTGCTTGGGTTTTGCCTTTCATCAGAACTCGAACTTGTTGGCCTGTCGATCAACACTTAACTCAGCGTACCAGCCAGTCTCTAGGCAGGTACCAGTATAAACTACTATAAAGTACTACAAACAGTTGTATAAGTTTGAATACCATCTGATCTACGGTGTCACCATATCAGATGAATAAATTATTAAAATAACTCTGAATTACCTTGGGCCGGACAGTTTGATGATGACACCTCAAGGCCGTCACGGCGTCGCCCTTCTTTTCGGTCTATATGACAATGATCATGCAAGTAACACATGCAAACAACCTACCTCCTCAATTTCTCTTGCCAATCTTCTCCAAACGTGCGTACGGCGTAAACTCACTTTTGCAAGTGCAGTTAACGACAACGTTTTTCACAATTGAAAAAATTGAACCTACTCGATGTTCGAGCTCCGACGTCTAGATTTTAAAGCCACGCAACAGCCATCGCCCTACAGCCTATCAGTAGGGACCACAAGCATGATGTGCACGGAAGACAGCCACGATGTGCACATAGCCTTGCCAGTAGACGAACGCATGTCGAACATAAAGAAACAAGATTGAGAAAGACCGTACGGACTGCCTAGCTCAGTCGGTACACCTTTGAACTGTTGAAATACCGACCTGAGTTCGAACTCCAGTGGAAGCAGATAGTAAAATATTGAAACCATTCATGTTAGATGTGAAGTTATCTAGGTGAGGGATTGGACCATGGATATCTGTCTAGTATTTTACTCATCTGTTTCCAGTGGAGTTCGAACTCAGGTCTGTATATTTTAACAATTCAGGGTTGTACCAACTGAGCTAGGCCATAGAGGTACGCATAGCTGTCTGATCTGCCAGGGGTGATGAAATCATTGCAAAAGTCGCTTATTGGGAGGACCGGCGTATCCCTTCAAACATGGGGAAAAAGTTCTGATGTGTTGTTTTACTAAGTCTTCTAACTTGCTATGAATGAGTTGACATAACTCGGAAGCTCCAGAGACAGTGAGACCAATCAACCAGTACCATATCAAGGATGTAAAACAACGGGACAATGTTTCGAACTTCAGATCAATCATCGACTCGACTAAAATATAGTTTATTGATTGGTTTGCTGTTCTATAACAGGTGTGGATTGACCACAACAGCGCTGAATCTTCTGCCAGTTGGATGCCTAGATGGAGGAAGGGCTCTGCAGGTGAGAGAACAGCTTCCTCTTGTTCTTTTTTTTTCGGCCCTTTTTTTAAGCCACCAGTACGTTTTCGCCGACTACGGCCGTATATGCCCGGCTGGACTACCAGAGCAAAATGACTGGCGGCTCCAGCCAAAAGAAGGGATGCACCAGTTCATTTTTTCTTGGTGCGCAACACCATTGAATCTTCTGCCAGTTGGATACCTATACGCCCGACCGGACTACCATTGAATCTTCTGCCAGTTGGATACCTTCCCCCCCCCTTTTTTTAAGTCACCAATACATTTTCGCCTACTATGGCCGTATATGCCCGACCGGACTACCAGAGCAAAATGGCTGGCGGCTCCAGCCAAAAGAAGGGATGCACCGGCTCATTTTTTTTTGGTGCGCACTGCGCAGGGTGAAGAACGGAGTTTTTTGTGATATCCGTCAAAATTCGAACGTTACGGAGAAGATTAGCATGGCACCTGTGGCATGGATGAGACTCGTGAATCAAGAAATTGTAAACCTCTCCTCCCCTCCCCCTCCACAAAAAGGGAAAAAAAAAAAAAAAAAAAAAAAAAAAAAACAGATGGAGGACAAAGTAGCCTGCTCAAAATTTAGATGTTTTAAAGGGCAAGCATTGTGCAGTCAGAATGCCTGGGGGCATTTTCATGTCCAGGTCCAGATCATGGAGCTGGAAATTTCCATGTCCACTGACTCTGCACTGTCTGCAGGTGATTTTCAACTGAATTACTTTCTCATAGTTTGTGCATTTTCAAAACCAGAGTGAGCTGTTTCTGAACTTTCTGTACCCATTTTATTTAGTCTCGCGGGAAGGTTTTTTTTTCTTTTTTTCCCCAACATACACAGCTCCTACTCTTCTGGGGGGCATCAGTCCGGTTGCTTATCGCCGGCAAGCAAATGTTTCTGAAAGAGCAGTGCGGGAGATTAGACAGAGAAAAGCATCAGCCTATCCTTGTGGCTTGAGCCGCCTAACCAAAGGGGGGCCCTGGTTTGGCTCAACCCACTCCCAACCTCCAACTCTTCCTCAGGGATTAACCTGCAAGTTGGGAAGCTTAGTGGCAGCACCCAGGCACGCTGCAGGGTAATCTTGAGAGGGGGGTGTGTTCCTGTCAGTCCCTTAGTCCGCATATCACTTGTTCAGCCTATCTATTCGTAGTCATCTAGCCTATGCAGTTCCTGCACCTGTGATCCGTGCGCTGTCTGTGTCCTAGTATCAACTTGTCCTTGTCCATTTCACCATTCCCCCCGTCAGGTTCGCCCAAACACCTTGTACCTGTCTCCCTGTATTGTACCTATGCATGCTGTGTATTCCTGGCATTGATCACGTCTCCATCTTCGTACCTTGAAATCTCCCCGAAACCTGTGTGTTGCCATCCGTTACACAGGTCATCTTTACCGTTCACTTCCAACCATGCAATCTGGGCAGTTCAGACTACCTAGCTGTATGTTTACATTGTGACATTTGTGTCCATGTTTCTAGCCCCAGTGTTTTGCCTGAACCTTTGACCCACTTACCCAGGTCCGTGACCGTGCGAAGCCCTTCCCAGCTACACCTTCATTGCTCCCACCTACGTGCACGGGTTTTCCAACCTACTCCCTGCTATGGTACATCTCTTGTGTCCCCACTTGCAGTCACGGCCATCCCTCCTAACTATAATACACGTCAGTTGAGGTTTCCAGATTACTCTAGTTCTAATCGGAGTCTTCCTCAGTCTGAGGTCTAGGAATGTGGCGCATCAAAATCGGGCCAAACAGCGTTCGGCCTGTCTGGGGGTCCTGGCCGCAATTGCGGGTACGGGCCCCATCTTGTCCAAAAAAAGGCTCCTTCCTTCTGCTCCCCTGTGCAGCTGCATCTCTGAAGGTCGGCCAAGAGGGTGATTCTGACATTTTCCAAGGACCGGTCTTGGTATACTCGGAGTGGTGGAGCTGTTCCCTGCCTGCATCGTTCATTTCGCAGAGTCCACAGTGTCCACAAAGCTGCTGCGAGTATGGTCTCTGCTGCCAGCATGTCTTCCGGTTTGGACCTATCCACTTGCAAAAGAGACCCTAAGAGGGTCTCAGCATCATCCGCTTCCGTGACAGCCAGCGGTGTTTTGTCCGCTCCTTTGTGCAGCCACCATTCCCAAAAAGCCTGAGGGATAAAAGAGATGAGGGACAGACTCCACCTGTCCACACCCTGCAGCACATATCTGATCCTTATATTGACTCTTAGTTGCTAACTTGCTAGCCATTGTGCTGTCGGGACCGCCAGATGGTAAATTTGCCATAGTAGCCCAGCCTGCTTCTGATCTGGCAAGGCTGCCACAATGGCACATTGTTCACTCCATGTCCGCTTTGTCCA